TGAAGGAATGAAAATCCAAAATCCCTGTAAATGTTCATTAAAATTAATAAAATTTAATAATAAAAAAAAGATTTTGGACTCCATCAAAGAATGAGTTTCAGTGATTTTTTTGAGGCAAAGACAAATTACTGTAGCAACATGTCAAAAGATGTTGCATCATGTCATATATTGTTTGTTGTTGTGTACCCTCGAGTCGGAACCGACCCATAGTTGACCCTCCGGATGGTTTTCAGAAATAGTATATCGTAGGAGAGGAGACTACCCAACCTTCTCCCGCCAAGGAGCTGGTGGATTTGAACCGCGTGCCTTCGAGATCGCAGCGCAGTGTCTTACCACTAGGTCACCTGACATGTCAATCCGTAACTCACACATGTCGTTGGGACGTGCGAGTAAACAGACGTCACAGTGTGTTTGTGTTTAGGACACCCACGTGACTTAACTCTTCTTTTAGGGTATCTGTGACTGCATAACTCTACAGACTTAGAAACTCCTGGTGGGATCAAATTACCGATCTTTTGGTTAGTAACTGAATTCTTAACCACTGTGCCACTATTGATGTTATTTATGCACATGTCATAAGGAGGAGTTGTCAGATTTTAAATATCTTTTCAATCCCCACAAAGCCCAGCATAGTGCACTCCCAAGACACTACATGACGTTTGTGTGGTTGACAGTGAACCGGAAGTATTTTCTAATCCCTTCAACGTCCCCTGGAGGAGCCCGCTGCCGCTGGCCGGAACCCAAAGCTCGGGAAGAGGCTGCGCCCGGAGTCAGTTCGCGCCGGAAGTGGCGGGGGGGGCGGGGGGGCGGCTCGGTGTTGGCCGGAACCCAATGCTCGGGTAGAGGAGGCTGAGCCCGGAGTCAGTTCGCGCCGGACGCGGCCCCGGAAGTGGCTGTGTGCCGCGTCCGCGCTGTCGAGTGAGACCCCTGCTCCGTGAAGATGCTGCTGGAGTTGTCGGAGGAGCACAAGGAGCACCTGGCTTTCCTGCCGGGAGTGGACAGCGCGGGTCAGCGTGCAGGGCCGGGGCTGGGGCGGGGCCGAGGGAGCTACTCGCGCTCACAGCTCTGCTTGTCGTTGCAGTGGTCGCGGAGTTCGGGCGGATTGCGGTGGAGTTCCTGAGGCGTGGTTCCAACCCCAAGATTTACGAGGGCGCCGCCAGTAAGAAGGGAAGGGGCGCGCAGTGCCCGAGCTGAGCCCCCGGGAAGCCTGGGCCCGATTCTGTCACCCTGGAGAGACTGGGATTCGTAAGACTCCGGGGGGTCTTGTTCACAATACCTACTGTTAGAAAAACACAAAACCATGAAATACAATTTTTCAATCAGGACGTAATTCCTGCGGGGTCTGCGAGTAACTGAGGGGGTTATTTTAGCTATTAAGTTCATTTGACGTGAGTAAAAAGGTGCACAATATCACTTTTCAGGATATGCTTAATTGCACCAAAATAGCTAGGTCAGCTACAAATACTTGGTTAATATTAATTGTCTGGGTAGCTATTTGTGTTGAAAAGTGTGTGTGTTATATAAGGTGTTTCCAGGATTCGGTCAATCTCTGTCGAAATCCCCTGCTTGAAATCTGCCAGTCCCAAGTTCCGCAAGTTGGCATTTTTGTAAAGGAGATGAAACTAAAACCCCTAACTGTTTCGGTGGAGTCATTTCTGGGTCATGACAGTCTCCTTTGTGTAATAGACTAGAACCACCCCAGAGACTAGAACCACTTCTTGACTTTTTGATTTTTATGTTTCCATCAGGATACTAAACAAAACTGGAGAAGTGCAACCAGGTTGCATCTTAGAGGCAGTGGTGGTGAAATTTCATCTCACATACTTTGCACATATTGTCAGGAGAGGCCCTTACTTGGAAAAGCACATCTGCTGGGGAAAGTGGAGGGTCAGATGAAGAGTTATGATTCTCAACAAGATGGCTTGACAAAGTGTTTGTACTAGCGGGCTGGAGCAAGCCAGTGTTCGTTAGGACGGTACAGGATAGGGAAAAGTTTGGCTCTGCTGTTACAGGATCACTCAGTCATAGATGACTACATGACACTTCACAACAACAGTAACACCAAGCCTAATTGTGCTAGAAACAGGCTGGTGATCTGCTTCAGTAGTGAAAACAAGAACCAAGAAAATGTTTCTACTTTGTAACATACACAGTTACTGGGAAATAAGGCCCAGCTCTGGTGGCTTAGTGGTAAGAAATTGTGGTGCTAATATAGAAGTGTCTTCAAATCCACCAGTTGCTCCATGAGAGAAAGATGGGCAGTGTCATTCCGTGCAGTTAACGGATTCTGAACACCTACTGGAAGTTCTGCTCTAGGTCAGTTCTAATTTGATGGTACACAACCACCACCATCACAGTAGTTGACAACTTCTGTCTTTATGGAAGCAGATCAGACATTGGGATGAGTTCCAGACATAAAGTTTCAGTTAGTTGACAGAACTATCACCTCAGAGTCTTCAGGAAATACTGAATGCATGTGGTTGGGACAGCAGTTAGAAGGAACAAGATTCCGTGACCAACGTAGTTCTTAAAATATGAAATAACGTTTGTTCCTGAAGCAAGAGTTTGAAGGAAAGGATAAGTAACATGTGATCATTTGTTTGCTAATTTTCCTCTCCTTTCTCAGGAAAACTTAGTGTGAGTAGTGACACGGTCCAGCATGGTGTGGAAGGATTAACGTACCTTCTTACTGAGAGCTCAAAGCTCATGGTAAGAGCTGCTGTGGACTGTTTATTATGTTCACCCTTTCGAACGGGTTGCCTGCTTTGTACCATAGCCTTGCATGTACTGTGTATTTTGGTAATAATATTTATTTAGAATTGATATTGTGAAGGTATACCTTTACCATCTGATAACCTTTACCTGGAAAATTAAAAGTGCTTCCATTTTATGTGTCCTAATGAAGTTTATTTTCTTTGTATATTGCGTATGGAGATTAGGAAGAAAAATTGGGCACTTCCATTCTTTCCTGTTTATACTTTAGTAAAGATTCATCCTGGAGAGGATTAAACCAAGCAACTCCTTGGAGGCAAGGATTCTGGGGCTTCGTCTGACATACTTTGGGCATGTTGCAAGGAGGGACAGGTCCTTGGAGAGGGACATCATGCTTGGGAGGGTGGAGGGACAGTGCAGGAGAGGAAGACCCTCGATGAGATGGATTGATTCAGTGACTGGGGTAATCGGGATGGGTGTGTCAGAGGCAGTGCGATTGGCACAGGATAGAGCAGAGTTTATGGCTGTTGTGCATAGGGTCACTATGGGTTGCAAACGACTCCACGGCACATAACAACAACAAAGTATGATATTGTTTTTGTATTAGTAACTCGAATTTTAGACTAGAGGGCAAGAGCTGTCATTAATGCCAACAGATCTTGTCTCTTTTACTATGCAGGCATGAATTAAGGGACTTCACATTCTTTTGCTCATATCATTTTAGCATTTACTAGACAAGGATAAATGTTGATAATCCTGTTCAACTTGATTTGTTTTTAGATTTCTGAACTGGATTTTCAAGACTCTGTTTTTGTTCTGGGATTCTCAGAAGAATTGAACAAAATATTACTTCAGCTGTACCTCGACAACAGAAAGGAAATCAGAACTATCCTAAGTGAACTGGCACCGGATGTTCCCAGTTACCACAATCTTGAGTGGAGATTAGATGTACAGGTGTGGCTTTTTAAAAAATATGACATAGAGTGTAAGAATTAGTTTATCTTCTATTACTTATGAAGCTCTTCAGAAACTTCAACCATACTCTGATTTGAAACTTTGGTTTCTTAAATATTTCATTTCAGACTATTTCAATGATAGTTTATTTCCATGTTTGTCAGATTGGTTCATTTTGCAAAGTTTAGAAGACATTACTTTGGGAAAGGAGAACGTTATGCAGGTTTGTGTTTTTGTGGGTTTTTTTGAGGTGCTTTGGTTTTTAAAAAATATGTCTCTTTAAATATAACACATATTAAAAATGCATGTTATAAATGCTTGTGAATTATAGTGAAAATAGCCTTGAAACCAACACTTAACCATGACCAGCATCCCAGAAAGATCCTTCATACCTTCTGGCAAATAACTGTTTCTTACATCCTCTCCAGAGGTAACCAGTGTCTTAACTTCTAATATATAAATTAATTTTGGATTTTTTAAAAACTTTCTATCAATAGAATGATTCAGTAGATGACCTTTTATGGCTGGCTTATTTTAAAAATTATTTTTATGGGCTTCATTCTTCAGTTATTCTTAAAGCTATGTACTGAAAAGTTTCAGTAACTGTTTGAACTCTGTGGCACTGGAGGGAGTTGCACTGATACATAAAGACTACGCCACTGGTGCTTGAAATCACCAGCTGGGTATTCCTGACTCTGTTCGAGGGAAAAACAGAGAGTCTCTTGCTGTGTGACGTGTAGCCTCAGAAACCCAATGGAGGCTCAACTATGAGTTGATCCAATATGGTGGCAATGAAAGAGTGAGTCGTATAAGTAAAAGGGAATTTTCAGATCATGTGTATATCCTTTCAGACCATTGCATTTAACAATGAAATTTGAATTAACAGATGCTTATTGAATGTTGACTATTTGCTGACTAAAACTGTGCCAAGTGCTTTGGGACAAAAAATTTCCAAGTGTTCAAGAAAGTTAAAACTTAGGGAGTTCATCGTCCAGTAAAAAAGGTCAAGAAAAGGTGAAACTATAGAAGGATGAAAAAAATAGAGAAAACCATGCTGAATATTACTGACAGGAAAATAGTTTAAGATGTGAAGACTCACATGAATCTCGGAGCAGGCATTCGATTTTGTGGTTTACTGCACTTGTTTCATACTTACTGTTTAGTGAAATAGCCTAGAGAGTTGAAAACATGAAGTCAGTGTTCACTGACAAAGATTCACTTATTGCATAAGATTTGGCCTTGCTTTGCTAGTTTTAAAAATACTGTATTGAATGACACATGGAGGGTGAAAAGAAGATGGAAGAAATACATAGAATTGCTACCATGAAGAATTGGCCCAGCCAGTTTCAGGAGGTAGCATATGATCAAGAACCAGTGGTGTTGCAGGAAGAAGTCCAAGCTGCACTGAAGGCATTGCTGAAAATCAAGACTCCAGCAATTGACAGAATACCAGTTACGATGTTTCAGCAAGTGAATGCAATTCTAGAATCAGTCATCTGTGCCAAGAAATTTGTAGTTCAGCTACCTGACAAGCCAGCTAAAAGAGAGCCATATACATGCCTATTCCCAAGACACATGAGCCCAAAGAATGTAAAATTATTGAGCAATAGTAATACCACATACAGGTAAAACTTTGCTGAAGGTAATTTACAAATGGTGCAGCTAGTACCTTGATTGTTGTTAAGTGCTGTCAAGATGAGTACAACTCAGCAACCCTGTTCTTTTTTGCCGACCCATAGCTGACTCTCCAGTGGGTTTTCAGAGGCAGTAAATTGCATGGGAGGAGATTGCCCGTCCTCCTTCCACAGAACAGCTGGTGGAGTTGAATTGCCTCCCTTTGTTATTGCAGCACAGCTTTTTACCACTAGGCCACCGTAGCTCCCTATTAACAAGTGAATACAGTGCTGTGAACAATGCACAGCAAACCTGTGAACAACAGATCTGAACCCTGTCCTGTCCTGTGTCATTCACATCAACCAAAAGACAGTTGTTCAAACCGAAGAATTGCTGCATGGGTTAAAATCAAGAAAAGTACATTGGAGTTGTAGCCTTTCATTACATTTCATCAATCTGTATGTTAAAAGGTGGAATATATGAAGACGATTCCATCATCAGCACTAGGGGACTGTTTCTTAATAATCTGCAATATACAGTCGACACAATCTTGATTGCTGAAAGTAATGAAGACTTGAAGCCCTTACTGAAGAAGATGAAAGAATACAGCCTTCAGTATGAATCACATCTCAACATAAAACAGAAATTCTCACAATTGGGCCAATAAACAACATCACAGTAAAAAGATAAAAGATTGGCTTGATAAAGGAATTAATTTTACTTGAATCCACAGTCAGTGCCTGTGATAGCAGCAGTCAGGAAATCAGACAAAGTGCTACATTGAATAAATCTGCTACAAAATCCTTGCTGAAGTGTTTAAAAAGCAAGCCTGTGACTTAGAGGACAGAAGTGCTTCCTGACATTCCTGACACAAGCCAGTCATTTCAGTCTTGTCAGGTGCATGAGAAAGCTGGGCAGTAGGTAGATACGGAAGTCCATAGAGTTGATGAGTTAGAATTATGAGGTTGACAAAGAATAGTAAACGTTCTGTGAACTGTCAGAAGGAGACCCAGTGTGTCATGGAAGTAATGTAGCCAGAATGCTCTTTAGACGTGAAGGTGGCAAGACTTTGTCTTGCGTATGTTGAGTGTGTTATTTGGAGGAACTAGAAGCCTCGTTTGAGGAAGAAAGATGGGCAGAAAAATAGAAAGATGGGCACTCTCTTACTCTTGTGGTTTTCCATCTATAAACCCGAGGAAGGTTGCTGTCTATTGGAACTGACTTAATGGCAGTGAATGAGGATCCCTGGTGTAGTGTATCAGGTTCAAATCTATCAGCTGTTACTACCATAAAGATTTACAGACTTGGAAATGTAATGGAAAATCTCTTTATTGGACTGGAATTTAACCGGTGGTGGGTTCTGTTTGTTTAATCTGGAGAAGACATCATGCTTGGTAAAGTAGAGGGTCAGTGAAAAGGTGAATGCAGTAAGATGAATGGACAGAGCGGCTGTAACAGTGGATACAGGCAAAGCCCAGGGCCAAACGGCAGCATTTTCTTTTGCACTGTGTTTACTCTGGGCTGAGATTGACTTGATAGTGCCTAACTTTAGTGCTTAACAGTAGGTAGCTGTAGGGGTCTAGTAGTAAGGAGCCGTGCTGCCAACTTGAAGGTCCGCAGTTCAGATCCATCAGCTGTTCCTCAGGAGAAAGATGGGCAATCTTCTGTGCGATTTATTGCCTCTGAAAATCCACTGGCAGGTCAACTATGAGTTGATTCTATTTGGATGGCATAGAACAGCAACAACAACGTTACAGTGGGTTCTTCTGATATTAATGAAGATAAAATCATGAAACCCACTTACAAGATTTTAGTATAGACATATTTAGAGTTGCCATAGCAGATAATGGAGAGGGCCCTACTGTAGACTCTTAGATAAGAAAGTAACATTAAAACAATTTTTTTAAATGTTAATGAAAGTTTACAGAGACTTAGGGTTTCCAGTCATTCATTGTTGCACTTTTCTCCCTGCCTACACCATCCCCCTCATTCACTCTTCTCCTTGAAAAGTAAAAGAATAACGCTTTTGTTGTTATACAATCCCTCCCGCCAAGTTCACTCCACTGTGCAGCCTTCACTCTAGACTCCTGTCATAGCAATAATACCTAATTATATATCTCAAACAGTTCTTTCCTTCATGTTTCAGTGCAATATATATCATTCCTCCCCTCCTTCTCTGCCTTCCCTCAACCCTGATGTCAGTTTCATTTTGCAACAGTGGCCCTGTGCAGTATTTGTCCTTTTGAAAGTTAACCTGGCATCCTTAAACAGACTAGAATGACAGTGGAAATGAAGACGATGAAAAATAAAGTGTCACTGGAGTGTAGCCGTGCTCATTTGTTTATGCATCACCTGTGGCTGCTTGGGCAGTTTCCTGGAGAGATCGGCAGCCATGGCGGCCCACTGGGCACAGTGAGTTGGAACCCATGCAGTGGCAGCAGGTTGGGTTTGGTGTTACGGCTACATTAACAATATGAAGAGCAAAGCAAAGTACAGTGACTGAAACTGTGTGGCCCTCAAAGCCTATAATACGTGCTGCCTGTCTACAACCTGAGTTTATAGACCCCAGATTTCAATGCCGCCTTCCTCCTGTAGCTCTGAAAACGCCCTGCCTTCAAGTCATCACTGACTCGCTGATGCTCTACTGGGTGTTCCAGGCTTTACATCTCTGCAGCAGAGGAGAGCCCGCTTTTGCTGCTGAGCTGCTGGTGGATTCAGACTGCCATCCTTTTGGTTAGCAGCCTGACGCACTATACACTGTGCCATCGGAGCTGCTTGTTAGCCTGTCAAGCTCTAAGACTCAGACTTATAGTCGTCGAGTCAGAGCGGACTCATGGCTGACCCTCCAGTGAGCTTTCCAAGGCTGTGAGGCGAAATTGCCCAACTTTCTCCTGAGGAGCACCTGGTGAATTTGAACCATAGCCTTTAGGTTATCACCCTGCCATCCTGCCGACTGCCGCCAGAGCTCCCCCTTCAGCCCACTGTGACTGTGACTTACAGCAGCAGTGAAGAACAGATCGGAATCTTGCCCTCCATTGCACCGTCCTCATGATTTCCAGTGAAAGCCCACTGTTCCAGCTGCAGTGTCTAGCTGTCCTGCTGAGAGGCTTCCTCTCTTGCTAAGGCCTCCACCTTTCCTGTGGTCGTGGTGACATCTGTGCTGCTTTTTCATGGTACATGTGTTTCAGTTTTGCTCCATGTGATCCCATGACATCTGCTTAGCTTGCACAGATTTGTCCTTGCTCGGCCTTCTCTTTGGTTATTTGTGAAGTTCTGATGCTCCTGGCCGTAGGTAGCTTCCTCTTTTTAAGCACATGACTCTCTCCCCTTAGGCCACATGAGAACACAATCCCAGCAGGTGTTCCATCTCTTTTGCACTGTACTTT